AGGCTTTCCTACTGACAACAATGAAATAGAAAAATGAGATTTACAGATATTGTAATCTTTTTGAAGATGCACTTTTAAGAATTCAAGAAAAACATTCGTGGATATGGCAAAATTGAGTTCAATGAGGATTTATTTAAGAAATTCAAAAGAATCCCGCTTTCTGGAGATTCCTTCAGCAAATTCGGTGTTCAAAATTTCAGCTAGTCGTCACCTTGCTGACATTTTGCAGACGAAACGAGGCCAGGTCCAAGTGGTACCGCCAGAGCCCCACCCATGACAGCCACAGGATACATCATTGCAGATCTAAGGACTTTGAGTTCCTTTTAATTGCCTACCAATTACCATCCAATAATTAGCGTCTAGTTTTGGAGTCGAAGCCGGATAATCAACGGGAGATCCATCCGTCCATTCACCAACACCAACTGTACCATTTCCAAAAGACCTGTCCAAGCCCATTTCCCCCAACCACAAGTATTGAGATCTGGCGCTGCTTGCGTTTGTTTACTCACATTTGATGTAACCAAATCTGAAAAATTTAGAACTTTCGTTAAAGTCAAAGTCAAAGTCTGGAGTCAAAGCCAACGAGGATGAATATTTGAACATGTTGAAAACAGAAATTTTGCCTTGGAGTCAGCAGTACTTCGGAAATAAGCCCTGGCTTAGGTATTTCAGTAGGACGGAGCTTCATCGCATGAAGCTCGAGAAACGCAAGATTGGATCGCAAAGAATTTTCCTGATTGGATCACAACAAGCGCGCAAAATCTAGACAATCCAAAAAGCGCGCAAAATCCAAGAGAATCGCTATCTAACTCGCCGGATTTTAATGTTTTGGATTGCAGCATTTGGTCGATCTTGTAGTCAAAGGCTTTTTGCAAGTTTCACACATCAAATCAGTCTTTGAAGAAGGATTTGGAGAAAGCTTGGGACGGTATTGGCATCAAAAAGGCTATGGATGACTTTCTAAACAATTACGAAAGCCTCCTTTAGCTTGAATACATTTTCGTAATTGTTTAGAAAGTCATCCATAGCCTTTTTGATGCCAATATCGTCCCAAGCTTTCTCCAAATCCTTCTTCAAAGACTGAATTGATGTATGAAACTTGCAAAAAGCCTTTGACTACAAGATCCACCAAATGCTGCAATCCAAAACATTCAAATATTGAAGTATAATGTTATATTTTTGTTATGTTAAAGTATCTATAAAGATTTCTTAAAAATTAACAAAAGAATGATCGAATTTCCTTTCCAAAATTTTGAAACACCCTGTAAACTTTGAGTTTGTTTCACTCTTGATTTGATCTTGAAAGCAAGAAGAATTTAAGGATTTTCAAGTTAAGTCTATCATTGAATCGAGTGATTTGTTGCTAATTTGAATGATTTGTGGCTAATTCAAGTGATTTGTTGGCATTTTCGATTGAAATGTCAAGAGAATGGGCTCTTTAAGCCGTTTGTTGCTGATTTAAGTGTTTTTTTTTGGTTAAATCGAGTGATTTTTTGCTAATTTGAATGATTTGTGGCTAATTTAAGTGATTTGTTGACGAATCCTTAAACAAAAGTTTAAGATCTCACAACCATAAAGAAAATCCTCTTCGGCTTTTGAATGAATCGAAGCTAGATGTGAATTCATGCGACGGCATTCACCCTCAGCTGCCTCAAAATTGAAAAGTTTCCAATGAATACCATCAGAATATGTAAAATTCTAAACTTTGTAATCTCTTAAAGCTCTTAAAGCATTGCCCAGACCTGTAAATAATAGCAATAACCCGAGTCTTGAAAATAGATCCAATCACGAGCACATCTTTCCATTTTCGGGAAAAAGAAAGAAAGTTTGAGACGCTAAATGGACAATAAAGAAAAAAAAATTGAGTATTCTTTAAATGCATGCTTAACAGCTTAAAATCTTAAAAAACAATCAACCGATTGCCATTTATTTGTTTGTTTTCTGAAGAACGAATAACTATTTGATTTGAATGATTTGATATTGTATAAGTTGACAGAAAACCAATATATTGGGTTGGTGAATTGAAAACTGCGGGCTATTGTTAGATAAAAGTTTAGAAAGATCGAGAGTTTAGATAAAAACTAAAAACACGATCGTGTTGCCCGTTTGATAATCTAATAATCATAATAATAATCCTCTAATAATAATCATCTAATAGTCTAATCGCTTTGATTTGAAATATAGCGAAATCTGACCATTTCCTAGTGAGATTATTTCGAATCCAGTAAGCTGAATAGCTGATTTATTTGGTTGGTGAATTGAAAACTGCCGGCTATTGTCATATGTGACAGTTTGAGCACTTTCTTCAAAAGAAACCCATTTTGGTGGCAATGGAAAAGTTGTAGAGAATCAGAAATTAAGTTTATATGCAAATTTTCAGAACGATTCAAAAACTGGTTTTCAAGAAATGCGAAATTTACGAATTTTCACAAAACTTGCATTTTAGGCGAAATTACTATGTGTATCTTTTTGGAAATTTGACTAAACAAAAAAACAACCAACCGATTGCCATTTATTTGTTTGTTTTCTGAAGAACGAATAAGTATTTGATTTGAATGACTTGATATTGCATAAGTTAATAGAAAACCAATATAGATAGTTGCTCCAATCGAGTAAGCACTCACAAATACGGAAAATAAAAACAGCTTAGAATATTTATGCTTTGAATTTTCTGTAGAAATATCTCTAAAAAGGATTTTAAAGTCTACTACAGATTTAATGTCTACTAATGTCTAATTTACTTGATTGGAAGAATCGGACCTTCATAAGCTCGATTGTTTAAGTTTAAAATTGGACGGGGTGATAGATAATTTGAAAGGGTTAAAGAATTTTCGGACATTCTACTAAACACGTTTCACAAAAGTGAAATAATGAAGTATCCGAAAATGACAAAAAAATTCAAGGTCACAGCTTTGGAAAAATCGATCGCTCGATCTTTTTGGTGAAAACAACGAAACGACGAATACTTCATTGGTCAAAGTTCATTCTTATTTTAAGTGAAAAAAGCCAAAAAAAACTTGCCTAATCGCGGGTTTTTCTGGCTAAATGTTTTGGGGCTGACACAGTTTTTGTCGCCGTGACGTAGTTGGGAGTGCGCTTGTCTACGGCTCACACGATCTGGGTTCGACCCCCCTCCCCGCCCCACCCCGTAGTGCCACTCAATTTTGACTTTTAAAATTTTTTACTTTAAATTATACAACTATATTGCCGTAAAAAACTAATAGAACGGCCTCCTATCGAGCGATGCGTAGCCTAAGTTTACTTTACAAACGCTCATATCTCGGCACTAATACGTTTGTTTCTGCGCGTTTAAGGTGTAAATTAAATAAGAGAGAATGGGTAATTTTTTGTAATATAACATATACTTTTATCTTTTATAGAACAAAATGATTGAAAATTGGCAAAAAAAGCCGATCACTTTTTCACTTTTTCACAATCACTTTTTTCTAAGCACTGGTTAACGATAAAAGTATGTGTTATATTACAAAAAATTACCCATCCTCTCTACTTTAATTTGACACCTAAACGCGCAGAAACAAACGTACTGGTGCCGAGATATGAGCGTTTGTTTGAAAGTAAACTTAGGCTACGCATCGCTCCGATAGGAGGCCGTTCTATTAGTTTTTACGGTAGATTTTAAGACTTTAAAAAAATTTCATTTTTTTGGCCCAAAGACGCCCAAAGACGCCTAAGAAAAAGCCCGTACAAACGGACGAACGGACGGACGGACAGAAAGACCCAAATGACCACCAAACAATCCGGATTTGACTGTGTCGGAACTTTGCTTTTAAAAAAAACGAAATATTAGAAGCACAACAATAGAGAGGTCTAAGCCTAACAAACTAAAAATCATGTAAATCGGTTCACGCGGAGCCGGGAACCCGCGCGTACAGACGGACGGACGGACAGACATTGCTCTTTTATATAGTAGATAGAATTTCTTTACTCCTAGAGGAATTGAAACCGTGGCCTTTATCACCCAAATAGTATAAGAACGAAGAAAGCAAAATCGGGCATCGGGCTGGGATCGAACCCGAGTTGCTCAACTTGGCAGATCGGATGCGGGGACGCACTATCACGCGGCCACTCGATAGCATGTATTCTTTAATTTCGCTTTTACCCGGAAATCTCACTCAGATTTGTGATGGCCTTTGCAGGAGTTAACGCAGACAGAAAAACGCCTCCTTTCTTTGTTTCACAAGGGGTGAAGATCAACAGTAACAATTATTTAGATCTTCTAAAGAATGAAGTGTTGCCGTGGGCTCAAGGACATTTTGCTGGGCGTTGTTGGATTTATCAACAAGACGGAGCAACGGCTCACAAGAACAAAATTGTTCAAACATTTCGTCTTTCATTTTGTACTTGAAAATATTGTTAAATCTATAAAAATTTGTAAAAGTCAAATATAATATAAAAGTATAGTGTCTAGCCGATATCTATTTGAAAAAACCGCATAAGCAAAGAACTAGAAAATTGTCATCAACGGGAATTCAAAACCGACATTGCTTCTCCCCTCAACCCTAACAATTTTATTAAAACGTTTTATTAAAGCCTAAAATGAACCTGAAAGCTCTCGGAAAAGAACACATTTTTGCACAATTGAGGAAAGTAATGAGGGCTTGTGATCAGGAAAGTTGATTATTGATAAGCACTGACCACGAACAAGCTTAATATTTTGATCAACTTCTCTCTGGAAATTTTTTGACCTTTCTCACAAATCACAAACAAATTTGTAATCGAATTAGCTGAATCTTAGCAATCCTTTTTTTTTCGACTCTCTGATTTCTGATTGATTTTTTGTTTTTCTTTGAGAAACTGCAAGTATTTTTGAGATTTAAAAATGATTAAATGACTACAAAGTTTTTCCTAATCAACTACAAGGTCAAGAAAAAAGCAAATAGAGATTGAAAGCCTAAAAATTGCAATGATTTTGACAACCTTGAAAAATGGATGGGTATAAAAGGAGCTGATAAATCATTCATTCACAGTTTATTTGTAAAATGAAGATCCTCTTGGTTTTCGGGTTGTTATTTGTGAGTTTTTCAAAGCTTTTCCGTGATTTCAATTTTGTAGGCTCTTTCTTCAGCGGATGATTCGAAATCTGGTGAGAGTTAAGGTAAAAAAAAAAGCTAATTAAAGTGGGAATTAGATGTCGAGAAGATCCTTCGCCCAACTCTGAATGCCTACGTCGAGGCCGTCGTTTCGGGAGAGTGAGTGGGATTTGATTTGGAATTTGATGAACAGAACAGAAAGCTTGCTTCTTGTTGTAAGCATTGTTTTATTGTTTTATTGAAAACAATGCTTACAACAAGAAACATTTCTGTTTTGTTAAGCATTGTTTTACTAAAAACTTGCTTTACTTAACGTACTTTTTTAATTACGAATCGTAGAAATTGTATTTGTGATTTATTGAATTGAAAAGAGAGGCCTTTTGATGGAGTAGGCCATCAAAAGACCCAGGCCATCAAAAGACCCAGGCCATCAAAAGACCCAGGCCATCAAAAGACCCAGGCCATCAAAAGACCCAGGCCATCAAAAGACCCAGGCCATCAAAAGGCCTACTCCATCAAAAGGCCTACTCCATCAAAAGACCCAGGCCATCAAAAGACCCAGGCCAGGAGTAGGCCTTTTGATGGAGTAGGCCATCAAAAGACCCAGGCCATCAAAAGACCCAGGCCATCAAAAGGCCTACTCCATCAAAAGGCCTACTCCATCAAAAGACCCAGGCCATCAAAAGACCCAGGCCAGGAGTAGGCCTTTTGGCCTTTTGGCCGTTTGATGGCGAGTTCTAAAACGCGCCCCTTTCGTGTATTGAAAGAGACTTTTTGCGATAAATTTCATTCTGGTCAATTCGTTTAGCATGTGTATGTACCGTAAATACCCTAATAGTGCCCCATCCCTCTAGTGCCCTACCTAGTAGACTTCCTTATCGATATTATCGATACAAACGGCATGCTTATCTTATCATAGAAGTTTTAGAAGATGTCTTATCGTAGAGACATTTGTTTTCAAGACCTATAAAACATTCATTTTCATGAAATCATCATTTTGGTATTATGAATGATACCAAGATCTGCAAAATTGAGGACTAGTGCTTAGATAGCCTAGTGCTTAGATAACCAAACAGAACTCAAATTTAAATGCTATTGCAGAGATTTATGACTTATGAGAAAGTTTAGTTATGACAAAGCCAAAGAATACTATCATGTGAACGCGATTTCCGTGGAAACCGACAAGAATGTGTGGTATAAACCAGACAGTTCGTTTCTGATACATATCACTAAAACTAAATATTACTTTTTTACTTATTTAAGTTTTATTAAGTTGTTCAAAAGCAAAAGAAACAAAGCAATTCTAGAAATCATTGAAGCCGTCAAGAAATACTACGCCGAAAACCCAAAGAGTAAGAGCGCAAAGGTAAGCAAACGCGTTTACTTCAAGTTATCTAGGTGAATACCGGATTCTCCCTAATAGTATTGCAGAGCCGAGTTGGTGACGATTTTACGGTTTCTAAGCGTTCACAGAAGCTTTTTTACAGAAGCTTTTTTACAGAAGCTTAACACTCTAATCCCCCACAAGATCTCATCGTCAGCTACATTTTCCGATCCCACATCGATAGGTTCTGATAAGCGGCTCTCGAGATTTCGAGCAATCTAAGGAATTACTACTATTAACAAATTAGGAATACTATTGGGAAGACTACTATAAAGAAAAATGGGTTGTTGGCTATTGTATTGGCTTAAGTAACTACTGCAGATCAACTTCAACTTCATTTTCAGCCTGGCATCATGTTGTTGTTGCAAAGGCAAGGTCAAAAGCCGATTCAGTTTGTCCTGATCTGCCTGGTCTTGTTTAAGTATCTAGACTTGGACTCTGACCTGGCCTGGCTTACAGATGCTAGGATCCGAGTTGATTACTATTTTACGGTTTCTAAGTTTTCCCAGAAGCTCAACACTCTAATCCCCCCCCTAGATCTCATCATCAGCTACATTTTCCGATCCCACATCGATAGGTTCTGATAAGCGCTTTTTGAGATTTCGAGCAATTTAAGTGCACTACTATTTGAGTGCACTACTATTAGAGAGAATACGGTATATAGGTTTTGTTTCCTCCCTACATTTAGGGTTTAAGGATTGTGCTTGTGTATTGTTTGTGCTATTCGATATTCGCTTTGATTAGAAAATAGGGTTTCTTTTAGATTAAATGAGACAAAAGTGTACTAATTCTAGCTCTAGAGCCGAGAAACTTATCTGAACTCAATATTTTGACAGATTTTGACAAGATTTTCCTTTCGATTACCGTATTTTCTCTAATAGTAGTGCACCCCAGCAAGCCTGCCAGATGGTAGGACCCGAGTTGATGACTATTTTACGGTTTGCAAGCTTTTGCAGAAGCTCAACTCTCTAATCCCCCACAAGATCTCATCGTCAGCTACATTTTCCGACCCCACATCGATAGGCTCTGATAAGCGGTTCTCGAGATTTCGAGCAATTTAGAGGACAATCAGGGTGCATTACTATTAGGCCGACGGTGTTCTAACCTAACTTATCCCTTAAAACAATTTAAGAACGTTCAGGTTGAATCGGAAGAGTTCTCGGGTGGCGGCAAGGTGATCTCTTATAAAAGCCAATGGACATTCCCCGACCAGAAAGGACATCAAGAGGGGCCCTATTTCCAGGTATCCAAAAACACGAAAATTTGCAACAACTAATTGACAAGTTTTAGGAGTTTTTAGTAGACAAACTCGATCACTCAATACTTCATTTCAGATCTGGGTCTTGGACACCGATGGCAAATGGAAGGTCTACCATGAGGAATACTCGCTTGACGCTCCGAAAAGCGCTTGAAGTTCTCATCTCCATTAAATAAACTCAATCGATTGTTTTATGGAGTACAATAATAAAGTATTATCACTAGAAAATCAATGTGAAAAATGTGAAAAAAACACTTTCCAGTTCTCTCTTCCAAAAGCCCCTGATTCTTCTAAAAGCCTCGGATTCTTCTAAAAGCCCCAGATTTTACCCAAGAGCCAAATTATCTATCGATGCTATGGTCATGAAATCTTGAACATACACAGAAAATGATGTGAATTTTCACTAAAAAAATATCAATCGTTTTGGTCTACAAATGACAGAAATCTGAGCCTAGAACGGACTATTAGGACCCGGCTATTTCTGGTCATCTTTTACACAATTCACTAAATATAAGCGAAAATTTTTCGAAAGCGAAATCACTGAGTGTTTCAATAAAAAAAAAGCTCTTTGTGCCATTTATTTCGGATTTTCGATTCCTCGTGACTAACAAGGAATATCGCTTATTTATGGTTACTGTATTTATCGTCTTCATCCATTACTTTCATTGTATTATTTATTATTACTGTATTACTCAGCTACTGTATTTATTGAACACAATGATCTTACTCAGCTAATAATAAGTCTTTATTTCTTGTATGTAAAAGGGCTGGCAAAAGTCGATCGAGATTTCCATTCAGGACGTCAAAGTTTGATAAACTTTTATGGGCCGCAAAAATCACAAAAATTTCCCCATGAATACACTCAAAATTGCCAACAAAACGAGCGCCCATTTGGGACGAGCTGCATCGCGAAATCCGTTTGCTAAATTCCCCATAGGCGAATTGCACTTGTCTTTTGCACAGCAATACCAGTCCAAAGTGGTGACAAGCCCTGTATTTGGGTCGACCGACGAATCGGATTCGTGACCTTCTCTCTAAAATTCTATTGATTTCTTATAAAAAATTGTTAAAGTCCAACCAAAAGCGAAGTCTTTCTGTTCTTTTCCATAGGCCTAATCCTTTTCAGTGGATTTTTTTGGAAATTAAATTATGTGCTAGACTTGTAACAAAAACATTTATTGGTCCTTTCTTGCCGTTGGCAATTTAGGGTTTTTCTCAGCACCAACCCTTTGATTTTGACTATTTTGACTATCATTCGATGCAGAACAAAATTACGCCTCCAATGTTACCAAAATTAACTCAAAATGTAATATCCACGCAAAGTTATGAGGCAAAAGGTTAATTCCAAAAGGGTTTAGGTTTTTGATCAACAACTTTTTATGCATATTACATTTTGAGCTAATTTTGGTATCATTTGACGCTTAATTTTATTCTGCATCGAATGATAGTCAAAATCGGAGGGTTGGTGCTGCGAAAAACCTTATATTGGCAACGGCAAAAAAGGGACCAGCAGATGTTCTTGTTCTTGTTACAAATCTAGCACACAGGTAGGTATATCTATCGAAAAAGTGACAATAATAGTCCTTCGATGAGTTTTTTTTTTTTGATTCTGAAAGTCATACTAATTTTTCTACTGTAACTTTTCAAAGAAATTATATTGGGTTGGTGAATTGAAAACCGCGGGCTATTGTCATATGTGACAGTTTGAGCACTTTCTTCAAAGAAACCCATTTTGGTGTCAATAGAAAAGTTGTAGAGAATCAAAAATTAGGTTTATAGCCAAATTTCCAAGAGATACACTTCGTAGTTTCGCTTAAAATGCAAGTTTTGTGAAAATTCGTAAATTTAGCATTTCTTGAAAACCAGTTTTTGAATCGTTCTGAAACTTTGGATATAAGCTTGATTTTTGATTCTCTACAACTTTTCTATTGACACCAAAATGGGTTTCTTTTGAAGAAAGTGCTCAAACTGGGACATCTTCAGTCCTCCATTTTTGAGTCTCACACTTGTCTCACACACAAACCAAAATCCTACTACGAAAGAGGAATCCGCAAATTGCCTGTAAAATGGGCAGAAGTCGTCAATAATAATAGAAATTATTTCGAATGAATTCATGGTTTTATGTTGAATAAATTTTAGTTCAAAGTCCGGCAGTTTTCAATTCATCAACGCAATAGAAATAAAAAAGAGATCGTTTTTCTCCAAGAAAAGCTCTGTCCAAAACCATAAGAAACCCATGATTTTTGCCCAATAAAACTGGTAATAGATTATTACTTTAAAAGGCGAAACGGCTTTCTTGCCAGCTTAATGAAATTAATCTATTCATTGGGCTTCTGGCCCCGGCACCGATCTTTTTTAAGTGTTTTTTTTTTACTGACCGTGCAAGTTCCAAGATTGTTTTGCTCTTCACATCCACAATCCCAAATCGTTCCCCTTATTGAGCCCTAAATTCCGTGTGCCAATTTTGCGATTGAACTAACCGTCAAAACGAATTTCGCACAATAATCACATCCCGGGCATTGGACGTTTGTCCCCTGAAAAAAAAGGAATTTTCAAGTTTCCCTGGTATCTGTGTTTCCTAAAAGCTTTTATCTTTGTACATCTTTGGTGTGCGTGGTCTTCTCACTATCCCGTTCCTCTCGCCAGCATTCAATAGCAGCAGACACACCGATGAAAATAATAAACACGACAAGTTGTCTCATTACTGATGGTGAAAGTTCAGCAGAAAAGAAATTGATCGTGAAGCTTTTTGAGAGAGAATCCGGCTTTCCTCTTTCGGCTTATCAAAGTTCTACATATAAAAGCGCTTTAACTGTGAGGCAAGAGGCGCAAATTTCCAGGCATTCTTTTCGTTTTTTATGTGAGCAAATGAAAAGTTTTATGTTTTAGGCAAAAATCTTGGACTGGAAGAGAACTTTTATGTTGGGAAGGGGCACATTACAAGGTGACCAAAAATAATCCGTCCTTTTTTTCTTCTGAGAAATCGACTGGACAGACAAACAGACATAATTTGATAAAGAAGAAGGAATGTTTATCAAGATTTGATTATTTACAGCTCTTTCTGCCCCACTCTGATCAGATCAATCAGATTCGATGTAGATCACAAAAGAAAACCTTACAAATGCCCTCCTATAGGGAGTATAAATTCTAGAGCTGTTCCATTTCGATTCGTTTATCAATAGCACAAAATGTACTTTTGTTATTTTTTTCTATCAAAAGATTAAGGCTTATAAAATCCTTCATTCTGACCACAAAAAATTCTGGAAAATTTTACGTTAAAGGGGACAAAAAAGAGCAAAAGTACGTTTTGTGTTAACGACGAACGAATCGAAATGGGCCAGAAAGAGCTGTGGATAATCAAATCTTGATAAACATTCCTTCTTCTTTATTAAATTATGTCTGTTTGTCTGTTCAGTCGATTTCTCAGCCCCTATTGGCCCCTATTAAGAAAGCGATCTATTCAAAAAAGGTGAATTTTTGATTTCAAAAAGAAACTAATCGTTTTGGTCTACAAATGACAGAAATATGAGCCTAGAAAAAAAGGATGAATTGCAAGATAGAGGGACGAGGAGCTTGAAGCAGCCACGAGGAGTTACCAAGCGACAGCCAAGAGTGGGAGAGGTTTTGCTGGTGTACGAGGAGAACCGTCCTCGAGCTGCTTGAAGATGCGCTAAGAAAAAAGGACGGATTATTTTTGGTCACCCTGTAATTTGCCCCTTCCCAACATAAAAGTTCTCTTCCAGTCCAAGATTTTTGCCTAAAACATAAAACTTTTCATTTGCTCACATAAAAAACGAAAAGAAAGCCTGAAAATTCGCGCCTCTTGCCACACAATTAAAGCGCTTTTATGTGTAGAACTTTGATAAGCCGAAAGAGGAAAGCCGGATTTTCTCTCAAAAAGCTTCACCATCTTCACAAAAAGCTTCACAATTTCTTTTCTGCTGAACTTTCAGCTCCACCATCAGTAATGAGACAACTTGTCGTGTTTATTATTTTCATCGGTCTCTCCGCTGCTATTGAATGCTGGCGAGAGCAACGGGATAGTGAGAAGACCACGCACACCAAAGATGTACAAAGATAAAAACTTTTAGGAAACACAAATACCGGGGAAACTTGAAAATTCCTTTTTTTCAGAAGACAAAAGTCCAATGCCCGGGATGTAATTATTGTGTGAAATTCGTTTTGACGGTTAGTTCAATCGCAAAATCGGCACACGGAATTTAGGGCTCAATAAGGGGAACGATTTGGGATTGTGGTTGTGAAGAGCAAAACGATCTTGGGACTTGCACGGTCAGTAAAAAAAACACTTAAAAAGATCGGTGCCGGAGCCAGAAGCCCAATGAATAAATTAATTTCATTAAGCTGGCAAGGAAGCCGTTTCGCCTTTTAAAGTAATAATCTATTACCAGTTTTATTGGGCAAAAATCATGGGTTTCCTATGTTGCCCATAATGAGCGCGGTTTAGGTTTTTGATCAACAGCTTTTTATGCATATTACATTTTGAGTTAATTTTGGTATCATTTGACGCGCAATTTTATTCTGCATCGAATGATAGTCAAAATAGTCAAAATAGAAGGGTTGGTGCTGAGAAAAACTTTAGATTGTCAAGGGCAAAAAAGGGAGCAGCAGATGTTCTTGTTCTTGTTACAAATCTAGCACACAGGTAGGTATATCTATCGAAAAAGTGACAATAATAGTCCTTCGATGAGTTTTTTTTTGATTCTGAAAGTCATACTAATTTTTCTACTGTAACTTTTCAAAGAAATAACTAGAAATAAAAAAGAGATCGTTTTTCTCCAAGAAAAGATCTGTCCAAAACATAGGAAACCCATGATTTCGCCCAATAAAACTGGTAATAATATAATTTCCCAATATAATTTCTTTGAAAAGTTACAATAGAAAAATTAGTATGACTTTCAGAATCAAAAAAAAAAACTCATCGAAGGACTATTATTGTCACTTTTTCGATAGATATGTAATATGCATAAAAAGCTGTTGATCAAAAACCTAAACCGCGCCCATTATGGACGGGATTTATCCTTTTGCCTCATAACTTTGCGTGGATATTACATTTTGAGTTAATTTTGGTAACATTGGAGGCGTAATTTTATTCTGCATCGAATGATAGTCAAAATCGTCAAAATCAAAGGGTTGGTGCTGAGAAAAACCCTAAATTGCCAACGGCAAAAAAGGACCAATAAATGTTTTTGTTACAAGTCTAGCACATAATTGAATTTCCAAAAAAGCCCACTGAAAAGGATCAGCCCTAGAGAAAAGAACAGAAAGACTTCGCTTTTTGTTGGACTTTAACAATTTTTTAAAGGAAATCGATCGAATTTTAGAGAGAAGGTCACGAATCCGATTCGTCGGTCGACCCAAATACAGGGCTTGTCACCACTTTGGACTGGTATTGCTGTGCAAAAAACAAGTGCAATTCGACTGGTGCAGCTCGTCCCAAATGGGCGCTCGTTTTGTTGGCAATTTTGAGTGTGTTCATGGGGAAATTTTTGTGATTTTTGCGGCCCATAAAAGTTTATCAATCTTTGACGTTCTGAATGGGAATCTCGATCGACTTTGGAGCTCTTTTACATACAAGAAACAGCCAAAGACTTATTATTAGCTGAGTGAGATTATTGTGTTCCATAAATACAGTAGCTGAGTAATACAGTAACAATAAATAATCTAATGAAAGTAATAAATAAAGACAGTAATACAGTAACCATAAATAAGCGATATTTCTTGTTAGTCATAAGGAATTGAAATAAATGGCACAAAGAGCTTTTTTTTTTATTGAAACACTCAGTGATTTCTCAGTGCCTTATTAAAAATAATTATCGTTTATTTGAAAGTAAAGACACAATTTGTTCTTATCAAGGCCTGATTATGGTTCTTGGTCGTTTTTGAGAAATGTTACTCGGGTTTTTTTCAATCTGATCAGCTTTGTGGAATAATTACATTACAAAATTACGGCCCCACCTTTTTAGCAGATGTAAAACGCCGCAATCAATTCAAAAACTCTAAGTGTTGCTTAAAAAATTGAAGAGTTCTTGCCTACATTTCTGTACTAAAAAAATCTTTGATTAGAGTTTTGCAGCTCATTTTTCAGACCCTCCAATGAGCTCAATCCGTCTCCGGCACGCTTCCATTTTTAGCTGTTTCTTAACTAAAGCTTTTTAGCTAAAGCTAAAGCCTTCTTTTTAGCTGTTTCTTAGCTCGGGTTTTCCTTACCGATGGCAATCTACCGGGGTCATGGGTATGACCAGGCATGGGTATGACCAGGCATGGGTATGACCAGGCATGGGTATGACCAGGCATAGGTATGACCAGGCATGGGTGTGACCACTCATGGGTATGACCAGGCATGGGTACGACCAGGCATGGGTACGACCAGGCATGGGTATGACCGGTCATGGGTACGACCACGCATGGGTATGTCTGTGCGTACCTTGTGGCTCATGGGTATGAGGCCCAACTCTCACTTTCTGGCACATGGCCTCTGCAGATAGTCTAGGATTTTCGTATGAAGAATTTTTCTTTAGCAAGAGGCATATGGGCACATAGAGCCACAATAATTCCTACATATCTATGTTTTTTATCTTCTTCATCGCAAAAAATTTTCCTCCTTCTCCATCTGATAGATTTAAAAAAAAATAAAACTGTATTTTAGTGAAAAATTGATTAATTTTGTCGAATGAGAGAGCAAAAGGCGAAAATAATTTTTGCTCTTTTGCAGAAAAGGAAAGAGATGATTTCGGCGAACGCGTTATGAAATGATATAAAAATAAAGGTAAAATAAAAAAGTGGAGTAAACAAAAATCTTTTCCTACTAATCACACAGATTAAAAGCCATTTTTCCCCATTTAAACTCTAACATGAGATTTACGTCAGCAGTACTACTTTTACTATGTATTGCCATGTTGATAGCTGTAGCCCATTGCGGTGAGTGGCTCTTCGGTTGTAAAGCCTAAAATAATTACTGACTAGCTGAGTTGAGAGTCCGCTACGCGGCCGCACGGAGAAATTGTCCTCTCCAAAAATATAGCACACATTGAAATCGGTCAACTGGGGTCGAATCCTGAGTAGCGACTACGCGACACTCCGTTTGGCCAAACCCGTTTGCTAACTTGCAAATAGGCCTCGAATCTGACTTCAGATTCGGTATCAGCATAGTCGAAAACCCCCGAGTATCAATTTTTAGCCCGAAAAACCCATTCCCTGACTTCTTTTTTCTGACAGACGAACATTTCACAATTATATAATTCATAGCAAAGGCAAATTCTTAAATTGAATAACAAAATAGCAAAAGAATATTCCGCGGTCTGGATTCGAATCCTCGATCTCTGGAGCTGTAGGCCGGCATTGTAGACCGGAGCTGTAAGCCGGAGCTGTGGCTGTCAACTCGGTCACACCTACTCCTCCAAGCCTCCAAGATTCCAAGACGGACGGACGGACAGGCACCCCTCAATTATATATAATAGATTCTCACAGACTTTTGATTGATCAACTGAACAAATTATTAGATTTTTAGGTGATCCCAGTCACAAAAGAGATAAACGAGTCATTTATCGAATTCCGAGTTGTAAGTTTTATGAAGATGGTCTTCTTAATGTTTTTTTTTAGATTTTGGCTCATCGTATTTCGTTCCAATAGGAAGTATGTTGCAAACTAACATAATATTGATATTCACATAAAATAATAGCATAATATTTTCGTAATATGATAACATAGCATAATAAAAACCCCTTTTTCTAAAAGCTCTTTTCAGGACGTGGATGGGGTATCGGAATTTGGTCAAATCTTGGATAAAATGTCTACAAACACAATGAAAAGTCATATCTATGTCAGATTTTGATAATATCTTTCAATTCTTATTGTATTTATATGTACAGTGATGGAAAAAAGTATTGACCCGTCAATGTTTTCTTATTTTTTGCCCGTTAGATCGCATTCAAATAAATCGATTTCTATTATCTTTTTTTGTGGTATTTTGTGAGAGGTTTAAGATGATATTCTTAGATTTTTGATTTTGCTCTAAATAGAATTTTTCAAGCTACTTTTAAATCAAAGGATCAGGTTCTTTTTCTCAGATTTTCTTCAAGGCTTCAAAACTATCAGTAGCTTTGAATTTTCAATTTGAATTTGAACTCCCTTGTCTTTGAGTTTAAACTATTAGTGAGGCTAGATCAAGCGCTTGAAGTTAACGATTTCTCTCGTTAACTCTCGTTAGTCAAAAGTCTAATCAAGACTACTACAGTACCGGACAATGAAATATCATCTCTGGAAAAAGGTCGTCACTTTCGCGCGTCTGTAACTCCCTTGTCTTTGAGTTTAAACTATTAGTGTTATACATTTTCTGAAAGCTCTTTTCAAGGTCTACACAATGGTATATTAATATTTAGAAATACGGTAAAGACAAGGGAGTTACAGACGCTCGAAAGTCACGATCGTTTTTTAAATATGATATTTCATTGTCCAGTAGTGTAAGTAATAGACAATCCATGATGTTGTGATGAACGGTAGTAAAAAGTAGATTGACAACCAATTTTGCCAGTATTCAATTAAATCTTCGAGGCGGTGTAACTAAAAAGTGACTTTAAAATCATTAGAACTTACAGTGATGGAAAAAAAAGTATTGCTGGCTTGAGACGGGTCATCTCGACGACCTTGGCCTTTTTATCCTTCAGTCATGGCAGGCATAATCGCAGATTTTTAATAATCGCTTAGAGTAAAGAGTACATCTTGTTCATCGTCTGAAAAATAGAAAATGTTATTGAAAATCTTGGCCCGTCAATGTTTTCTCATTTTTGCCCGTTAGATCGCATTCAAATAAATCGATTTCTATTAGCTTTTTGTGGTATTTTGTGAGAGCTTTAAGATGATATTCTTAGATTAGATCTTAGATATTTTTTAGTAACCAATAGTAACAATAGTGATCAGTTTGGCTCGAAGCTGACAAAACTTTCCGCTACTAAAACCCCCTACCGGATAATTTTTGGCCCCTATTTTTGGTTTGCTAGAGAGTCAAATAACACATTTCAAACCTGTAACAAAAAACAATTTTAATAATGGAATGGGGGTCTGATAAAAAATGTTTCAAGAACTCTACATAAAAGAAACTTTTTATAGCAACAAGTGAGCTGATTTCAGAACAAAAACCCTTTGTCTCTAGTTTTTGAGATCTGGAGGGACCAAAATGTCTGGGTTTTTTTAATATACATTTCTTGAAGCTTCCAGAAAATAGAATATCAAAGATCAAAGATATCAAAGATCAAAGATCAAAGATATCAAAGATCAAAGATATCAAAGATCAAAGATTCAAAGATCAAAGATATCAAAGATCAAAGATTCAAAGATCAAAGATTCAAAGATCAAAGATATCAAAGATCAAAGATTCAAAGATCAAAGATTCAAAGATCAAAGATTCAAAGATCAAAGATGTCAAAGATCAAAGATTCAAAGATCAAAGATTCAAAGATCAAAGATTCAAAGATCAAAGATGTCAAAGATCAAAGATATCAAAGATATCAAAGATCAAAGATTCAAAGATCAAAGATATCAAAGAAGTAAGTGAAATTTAGCTTCTCTTGAAACTATCTCTTGAAATTTAGCTAAACTAGAATCATTTTTTAAGAATTTGTTTGAATTTTGAAAATATATGTTTTCTGCTTACACTTGTATATTTAAAAAGCACAAAAGGATAGAAATGAGAGAATAGAAATGGTCCGGACAACAAAAGATAACAAGAGAGAAAAGAAAAAGGACAAATAGAGCGACCTTTTTACCCCCTTACTCCCTTCAGTAAATCTCTACTCTAGACCATCGGCTTGCTGGCAAAAAAGACTCGGCGATAAAACGGAAAAGTTGAAGAGAAAAACAGGTTGGTTGTGCAATTCTGCACAACAGTTCTGTAGATAAAAAATTTTACTTGAAAAGCGCAGTTTGTTTTCGAATATTTTATAATTTTCTTTTTTTGCTGTATTAGATTTTTGGAAAATTTGTCTGCCTGTTATCAAGATTTCGGCTTCGGCTTTTTTTTTGATCAAAATAGGAACTAAATAAGAATCAAATGGGAACCAAATAAGAACCAAATGGGAATCAAATAAAAATACTAGGGATACTCGAATCCAGGAAACACGGTTCTGATGGTTATCCCAAACCATCAGACTTTGGTTTGGACCACGTCTTGGTGGTTAAAAACCTCAAGCTGGTTATCCCAATCATCAGACAAGACCCAAAAACCCCAGGTTCATTATTTTCTGTCTATAATACGCAGTTTGTTTTCGAATATTTTATAACTTTCTTTTTTTGCTATACTATATTTTTGGAAAATTTGTCTGCCTTTTTGTCTGTTATCAAGTTTTCGGCTTCGGCTTTTTTTTGATCAAAATAAGAACTGAATAAGAACCAAATAAGAACCAAATGAGAATAAAATAAAAATACTAGAGGTACTTGGATCCGGGAAACACGATTCTGATGGTTATCCCAATCATCAGAGTTTGGTTTGGACCACCTCTTAGGAGCTAAAAACCCCAAGACTCCAAAATCCAAAAACCCCAGTTCATTATTTTCTGTATATATAACGGTTAAACAGTTCAAGTGTTGCTTTAGACAAAGAAAGGACGGGGTTAAATGTAAATTTGGTGTTTTAGCTGGATGGAGCCGCAAAGCAATGACATTTAGCTGATTTATCGCTTTCTTCTGGTTTCTTGAAAAGCTTTATTTCTTTACTTTTCCTATTGAAATCTATAATTTGTCCAAATAATGTTTAGAATGATTGGCGTGATCCTCGTCGCTCTCGTTATTCTCTATTTGACCTATGAACTCTATTGGAAGAGGCGGAACTTACCACCAGGTTTGTAGAAAACAAAAAGAGCACACAAACATAAATAAAACGAAGTCCCAGAAGTTTGAATACTTCTATAAAATCGTTGTTCTCATTTTCTCATTATTTCAACTTTAGCTTTTTTTAGTTTATTTTTGCCAATTAGAGTTAAGAAATGGTTTTCTTTTAAATTTAGGTCCAACTCCTCTTCCCTTATTCGGAAATCTGCTTGACGTGATGAAGAACAGTCCCGGTTATGAGGCTTATCGTAAATGGAGTAAAAAATATGGACCAGTCTACACTTATTGGCTCGGTACCATGCCGGTTGTAGTGGTCAGCGATTATGAAACGCTCAAAGAGACGGTGATCAAAGATGGGGATAAATATGCGGGACGATGGATTTTCGAAGATTTCATCAAAGATACAAAAGGTTTAATAATTTGAGAGAAACAAGTGTTATCCCTTTCTTCTAGGTGGTTGTTTGGACTCGTGTTCTCGGAAGGTGATCTTTGGAGAGAGCAGAGACGGTTCGTTTGAAAACTATTGAAAAAAAGTTTAATTTAGCTATTGGGTTGGTGAATTGAAAGCTGCCGGACTTTGAACTAAAATTTATTCAATATAAAACCATCAATTCATTCCAAATAATTTCCATTATTATTGACGACTTCTGCCCATTTTACAGGCAATTTGCGGTTTCCTCTTTCGTAGTAGGATCTTGGTTTTGAATCGAAAAACTTTCAAAGCCAATTTTTCACTGCTTCTTCCGAATCGAAGTGTTCTCCCGCAAGCTCATTACTCATGATCCGGAATAAATAGTAATCAAAAGGGCGAGGTCCGGACTGTATGGGGAATGCGCCAAAAGTTCCCAAACAAGGCTCTTTATTTTAGAGCTAATCAGTTTTGCAACATGAGGGCGCGCGTTGTCGTGGATGAGAACGATCTTTGACTTGCAGGGCCAATTCTTCTTTAGGGATTCATTCACCTTTCCCAAATGTTCACTGTATTTGATTGCACTAAGGGTTGTCTTGCTATCCAGTAACTCCCAGTACAACTCCCAGTCCCAGCTTTTTGTCAGCTTTTTGTCAACTTTTTATTGAGTTGGTGAATTGAAAACTGCGGGACTTTGAACTAAAATTTATTCAACATAAAACCATCAATTCATTCCAAATAATCTCCATTATTATTGACGACTTCTGCCCATTTTACAGGCCATTTGCGGATTTCTCTTTCGTAGTAGGATTTTGGTTTGTGTGTGAGACAAGTGTGAGACTCCAAAATGGAGGACTGGAGATGTCACATGTCCCAGTTTGAGCACTTTCTTCAAAAGAAACCCATTTTGGTGTCAATAGAAAAGTTGTAGAGAATCAAAAGTTAGGCTTATAGCCAAATTTTCAAAAAAGATACACTTAGTAGTTTCGCTTAAAATGCTCACTTAAAATGCAAGTTTTGTGCATTTCACCAACCCAATAGATTAGAGTTGCTTCTTTTGAAGAAAGTGCTCAAACTGTCACATATGACAATACCCCGCAGTTTTCAATTCACCAACCCAATAAAATTGCGTAATACGACCTAATAGATAGAAATTAAAATTAAAAGTTTGAATCCAACAGCTATTTATTTTGTATTTCTAGCACAAATTTAGTCATGAATAGTTAAGCCCGGCGTGCTATAAATTTTTCAGTTTTCAATTCACCAACCCAATATATTCTGCTTACTTTTAAGAGTACATCGGGTAGCATTATAGGATAACTTTTTTAAGGTATAAATTTAATAAATTCAAATTCAAATAAGCATTTATCTCTTCTTAAATTTTAGTTTGACTTTGCACACTTTACGAGATTTTGGGATGGGAAGAAATATAATGGAAGAACGGGTGATGGTCGAGGTCGATTTCTTGTTGGAGAAAATGGCAAAACAAGATGAGATTCGGATACAGGTAGATTTGGAAAAAAAGATTGAAATGACTCAAACGAGAACTTTTGGGTTGCAAGGCTTTCAACGAGAACTATTCAAGTTTTCCGGCTAGAGGACTTTTCAAATTTGGTTTTTGTTTCTGTTAACAGACGATTGGGTTAAGGAAAATGAAATGGCATTAAACTTTAAAGAAACTTTTTGCGCGCAGAAAACCTTCTTTAAATCCATGTTTTGCTTCATCAAATGTTCTACTATTTCTCTACAAAATGACTTTTGAGATATTCCGCAAAGCTTTTGTTTCGTGAAGTTTATTGACTCCACAGCTAGTCAAAATGGGTCTGACTCATCGTTTGAACAGTTTCTTCCACATAAACCTTCTTTAGTATCTATATAAAAAAGATAGAGCACACTCAAATACATAAGTTGCCAAATTTTCAGGAAAATTCCTCCAACCGTTTTCTTTAGATGACAGTTTATAGATTTTAGTGAAAAAGAATGGTCTTTTGTTGAGCTGAGACGCTGTTTGATTTCACTTTTAAATGTTATTTTGTAAGAAATTACTTAATCTTTTGCATAAAGCCTTCTTTAAATATATGTTTTGCTTCATCAAATGTTCTACTATTTCTCTACAAAATGACTTTTAAGAGATTCCACAAAGCTTTTCATTCGTCGAGTTTATTGACTCCACAGCTAGTCAAAATGGGTCTGACTCATCGTTTGAACAGTTTCTTCCACATAAACCTTCTTTAGTATCTATATAAAAAAGATAGAGCACACTCAAATGCATAAGTTGCCAAATTTTCAGGAAAATTCCTCCAACCGTTTTCTTTAGATGACAGTTTATAGATTTTAGTGAAAAAATGGACTCTTGTTATCAGGAAAACACTCCAAATCTCAATTTTTTAGGCAGAACTAGACCTCGCTGTTGGCTCAGTGATCAACGGAATTCTTTTCGGGTATCGATTTGATGAAGTAAGTGCTAAAAAGAGTCAAAAAAAAAACCTCTTGATTCTAGGATCACGAACACGAGTATAGATTGGTAAAAAATTCTCTTCGAGATTTTGTTAAAGCCGGCTCGAGTCCATTATTCACTGTCGCTTGTATCTCATCATTGATTCGTCAAATTCCTCCATTCAAAGGTTTCCCATTGTATCTATTAGAATGGATTTTGCGTCAAATTCGAATATTTTAGAAATTTACGGGAATTATCATTAAGTGACTGATTTTTTAAAGACTCTAGCATAGCTTAGAGTCAATATTTGTCTTTTGTCCATTCTCTTTTCATATTTCGAATTAACTTTAAAATCTTTTGTCTATCATTCTTTTAAAATGTTTATTCTAAAATCTGATTTTAAATAATTCATCTTTTAAATTTGCTTTTAAAAGAAATTTCTCAGCTCATGAGAGATCTCATCTGCTTTCTTCAAATATTTCTTTCATATTTCATTTGCTGAGATTTGCAGACTTTCTATCTAAAGAAGCTTTGTATCTAAAGAAGACTTTGTATCTAAAGAAGACTTTGTATCTAAAGAAGCTTTGTATCTAAAGAAGCTTTGTATCTAAAGAAGCTTTGTATCTAAAGAAGACTTTGTATCTAAAGAAGCTTTGTATCTAAAGAAGCTTTGTATCTAAAGAAGCTTTGTATCTAAAGAAGCTTTGTATCTAAAGAAGCTTTGTATCTAAAGAAGACTTTCTAACTAAAGAAGACTTTCTATCTAAAGAAGACTTTGTATCTAAAGAAGCTTTCTATCTAAAGAAGACTTTATCTAAAGAAGCTTTCTAAATCAAAAATCAGAATGGAAACAGTTATATAAGGTCTTTAAAAGGTCAGTAATTCAATGATATAACCCAAATTGAGCCACACCAATGATAGAATTCTATGCTGATTGTACTCTAATTGAATTCATTTAGGAGCCTACGCCAATATACTGGCACCAAATGATGTTCTTTATAATTTTATTCGAAAGCAAATTGCCGCAAAGAGGAAACAAGTCGATTTCGATAGTGAGGTCAGGAAAATTAGAATATGAACCTGACAACCACAGGGTGTCAAGGACCAGACGGATCAATTTTCCGGCTCCAACCTGATACTAAAGCAAACATTTTCAGACATCTAACGACTTTGTTGAGAGTTACCTAAAGGAATGGGAAAGAAAGAAGGGCACGCCACAAGAAGAATTTTATTTGTAAGTGTTGAATCATTAATTGGTCAATAATTAGCGATAAGGTAATGAGAATTCAACGATAATTTAACGATAACTACAAAAAATGATAACGATAAACAATAAATTGTTAATTGATGTTAAATCAATGAAACTTTTTGTCGTTATCTTTCGTTTATCATTCATTGTTATCGTTTATCGCGATGTTATCGTTAGTCAAGAAGTCTAATCGCAATATCGAATAGTTGAATAGTTGGGCATCCTTTTAAAAAGATACATTTATTGAAAACTAATAATGTGGTACAAACAAAGGATACAGAATGAGACATAAAGGTTTAAAGACACAATTTTATGGCACTGAGGCCGTTGTTATCCCTATTACCCTTATTACCCAAATGTTGTGAAAGAGAAAAAACCACTTGGGTGAGAAAAAGAAACATTTTAAGCAAAAATCACCTACTAAAAAAAGCAAAAAGAATCTACGGGAAGGGAACTCGAGCAAAAGCAATCTCGAAACCTTCGAGAGCACTCTATCCACTGCGCCACTAGCTCTCTTTTTTAAAAAGAAAGAAAAAGCTTCTAAAGACTACGAAAATCGACCAAAAATTTGAGCAATTTGTTGCCAAATACCTCGCGTTACACAGCTCGTTTATCATTTATTGTTATCGTTTATCGCGATATTATCGTTATTCAAGAAGTCTAACCACATAAACTTGGCCCCAATCCTGGCCCTCTAGGCCCCCTCAAACGTCAAGAATTCTTTCGTATTAACAATTTGCATACCAAAATTAGCTGGCCTCTCCAGCTGAATTTATAATTATTATGAGCTCAATGCAAAATGAAACAAATGTTTTTAGTGTTGCAAATATTGGGAATCGTCTAATTTTGGCGTGCAAATTGCTGGTCAGAAATCTTTCTGCTGTTTGGGGAGGCCTAAAGGAGTAAACTACCTAATCTTGCTCTTCTTTTACAGTGAACGCCAGCTCGAGGCACTGATCTTTGATATTTGGACGGCTGGACAGGACACAACGTCAAACACAATCGCTTGGACAATCGCCTACATTCTCCATCATCCCAAAGTTGAAGAGAAAATCCACGAGGAATTAGATCGAGTCATCAAATCCGACAGAAAGATCACCCTCGCCGACAAGAATTCGCTTCCCTATGTGAATGCTGTGATCAGTGTGAGCTTCTTTTATTGTCAAGAAAGTAAAAAAGCTATAAAATTAAAGATCCAATGATTTTCTAAGTCTTAAAGAGACAAAGCTATAGTCAATTTCAGGGATTTCAAATCATTTACTGACTAGGAAAGCGCACTCAGTCAACTTTTTAAACTATCAAAATATAATCATTTGAATAGTATACTCATTTGATTTAGTGCCAAAAAAAAATTACATTAGAATTCGAATAAGAACAAAAGTTTTCAGGAATCGCAAAGATTGACCAATCTTCTCCCTCTGAATGTTCCCCGAAGAACAACGGAGAATGTGGTGATTAATGGATACAAGTTACCAGCGGATACCCTTGTCGTCCCACAAATCTGCTGTGTTATGTACGATGAGAAGGTGGGAGATTTGAACTGGAGATTTCAATATTCGAATCATTTGTAGATTACAACACAATAATATAATCATTATAGCTTGAAAAGCAGTCTGTAGATGTCTGTTCCTTGATTCAATAGAATATTGGAGTCATTTGTAGATTACAACACAATAATAATAGGTTGATGCATAAGTGTTCTGTTCCTTTTCGTCTGCCGTTTCAAGCCAACAAATGCACCAATTAAACTACGGTTGATTTCATTAGAAAAAGCAATTATTTTTCTGCAAAATAACATTAAAACGGGTTTAAAAATATTTTATGCCTGGATTTTCTTGAGAGTATGAAGTCGGGTAGTCAAAAAGGGCTAACTCGATGATGCGGTTTAGACACCTTAGCTAAAGAAAACCTATCTTCGTGTCAATAGATAAAAGATAGAGAAAAAAAAAGTTTGATATTTCGCCAAAATTTCAGAGAAATTCATTCAGCCAATTTTTCCGTAGAGTTTTTTATAGATTTTTACGAAAAAGGCGTTTTTCACTCTCGAATTTGCTTGAAAGTGAACCGAAATTCATTTAAAAAGATGCAAATTGAACAAAAAAACACTTTTTTTATAGAGCAAACTATAGATTAATTGGTGAATTTGTTACTTTTTAGCAGAAGTACGAAAAAAACGAAAAGACTTATGCATCAACCTAATATAATCATTATAGCTTGAAAAACTGTCTGTAGACGTCTGTTACTAAGATTTTAGCTTTCCCTTCAAGTTTTTTTGATGAAACGAAACCCGGGAAAAACGGGGAAATCAAAATTTTGATTCTACCAGGTCTTGCCAATCAAAAACACGATTTTCTGCTTAATTATAGTGAAAGGAGGAGATTTTAAATGCAAATTTAACCTCACAGGATTTAAAATCAGCAAACCTGTTACAAATTCAACTAGTTTTATCTATGAAAAACTTCTAGGTCTTCCCCGATCCCTACAAATTTGATCCATCTCGTTTCTTAAACTTGGATGGCTCTTTGAAGACGTATCCTGAACTTATCCCTTTTTCTATTGGAAAGCGCTCGTGTCCTGGTGAAGGAATGGCAAAAGTTGAACTCTACCTCTTCATTGCCAACATTTTTCAACGATTCAAAGTAAATAAATTACCAAAAATTAACAGAATATGTTTTTAGGTCTCAGCCAAAAAACTTCCATCTTTGGAGAAAGAGTTGAACAATGTTGTCATCCCGAAAACATTCACTTGCCAAGTCGAATCAAGGCATCGATAAAGGAAAACATTTATTTGAGCTGATTTCCGGAAAATCATATAAAATGTTTCTTAAATAACTGTTATCTTACTGTTAGTTACAGAAGGGAAAAGAAAGTATTGGGTTGTCCAGTTATGAATGTTTTACTATTTTGCAAATTTCTCAAGATACCGAAATCAAGAAAAAGATATATATGAGGATTATTCGAGAGCTGAAGATCTCCTCTACATTTTAATATAAAAAGTTTTTGAATTTGTTCAGCTTTTGGGCAAATTGACTGCACAGAAGAAGAGGTGGCCAAAAAATGGAAAGGTGCCTTTGGATCAACTTTTGGCTTCGCTCAAATTGAGTTAACCGTTTGATGTTTGGCCAATAGATATATCAATACAACTTTTTTTTTAAATATAACAATTTCAGAGCATTTTTACTTTTCTTTTCTTTTCTGGGCGGTTATTTTACACCATAAAACTTGAGGAATAGCTAAGCTAAAATGGCTAAGCTTTTTCGAAAACGACCTCTCCCTTTGTACAGTGAATTTCCCAACAAGTTGAATGAATTCAAAAACTTTTTATTCCAAAATGTAGAGGAGATCTTAAGCTTTCGAATGATATATAACGCTCATATACATCTGTTCGATATCTTGAGAAATTTACAAAATAGTAAAAACGCGCATCCATAACTGGACAACCTAATCGCTTGCGTTCTAGAAAACGCACTCAGAAACAGAAATCGAAATCGAACAAAACAGAAATCGTATATATTAAGCTTGATCCAACCATTCAATTCAAATTCACAGAAGAAGAGGTGGCCAAAAAATGGAAGGGTGTCTTTGGATCAAGTTTTGGCTCCGCTCAAATTGAGTTAACCGTTTGATGTTTGGCCAATAGATGTATCAATACAACTTTTTTAAAAATAGTAAAGAAAAAGCTGTCTGAAAAGCCGTTGCTTGACGTGAATAATGGAACGCTTTCTGGGAAGTGGCGCCTCTGGAGTTGTACGACTCGTTGGCGACCATCCACCGTGAGTCTTTTTAGGAAAAGCTGACATTCACTAGTTGCTCGAATTTTCTTTTCTCTAATAGAGATTATTTGGCAAATTTCAGAGAGGAATACCCACATAAACAATGATTATTCTAACCTTTGAAACACATAACGTGAAGATCCTTGAATAATCATATTTAAAGCGGCTAAAAAAACAACTCATCAATAGTCAAAATACATATGATTATTATACCCAAAAATTAACGCCTAATTTTTATTAAAAGTGAGCACTGTACTGCTCTGTTTCAATTTCCAGCTAGTTCCTGTTCAGACCCAGCCAAGCAAAGCAAAAAAAAGACAAAAAAGAAAGAATTTTGCGGCAAGCGGAATCGAACCCGCTAGGAAAACTGGTCTGGGTTTTAGAGTCTAGCACACTGTCCACTAGACTAGTTTTTTGACAAAAACAGATCGTATCGGTTCAAATCGGGCTAGTCGTCTTATTGGTCGGATCTATCGGATCGGGTTAGACTGATCGGTCGTACGGATCGGATCGGATCGGGCTAGCCCGGTCGATCAGATCTATTGGATCGGATCGGATCGGGCTAGCCCGGTCCGTCAGATTTATCGGATTGGATTGGATCGGGCTAGCCCGGTCGGTCAGATCTATCGGATTGGATTGGATCGGGCTAGCCCGGTCGGTCAGATCTATCGGATTGGATTGGATCGGGCTAGCCCGGTCAGTCAGATCTATCGGATTGGATTGGATCGGATCGGGTTAGCCTGATCGGTCGTACGGATAGGATCGGATCGGATCGGGCTAGCCCGGTCGGTCAGATCTATCGGATCGGATTGGATCGATCCTGATCCGATCCAATCCGATCCGATCCGATAACCATATCCACTAGGCCGCTGCTCTTCCTCCCTTTGGACGTCCCTCTTATAAGTGACGTCCCTCTTATAGGAAAATTGCTCAAACTTTGAACACGTTTTTCTCGATAACCAGGACCCATGGGGAAAAGATAAAAATATGTGTTTATTTGAATTTGTTTCTTAGCCAGGTCTGTTTTCAAAAATCGGTGGAAAGTTGAAAGAGTTTCCTAGTAAGACACGATATTTCTATAAGCTTCCCAAAAACGACCAATACCACCAACCAAAAAACAAGAACATTTTCAGATACACTGTATGCAAATACATTCGAATGAACTTAAAAATGAAGAGAAACTTTTATGAACGAGAAGCGAAAGCATTGGGGAAACTTCGTCATCCAAACATTGTCGCCTTTTTCGGAATTGAAGAGGTTCACCAGTTAGAGGGTTCATTTTATGTGATTCGAATGGAGTTTTGTGAGCGAAACTCGCTGAGACACGGTTTGTTTCCTTAATTTTATCCTTATAGAAAAAAAATCTAGTGCTAAACGATCCGGAAATCCTCTACAACTGGAAGACGATTCTCGTCTGGGCCGAGCATTTAACAACAGCATTGTTGTACCTAAAGAGCCACAAAATCCTCCATCGAGATATCAAACCGGAAAAGTTTTAACGAAAAATAAAGTTTGAGAAAAACAATGAAAATTCTAGCGTTCTCGTTACGATAGACTTTGTGCTGAAACTGGGAGATTTTGGGCTTGTCAGAGATCTGAGTTCTGTCGCCATTTCGACTAATTTAGCCGGAACATATCGCTACATGAGTCCAGAAGCCTATGGGGTTTTTGATCGCATTCAGGTGAATTTTTCTAAGAATAGAGACAGATTGTACTTCCTAAGTTCCTTCCTAAGAATAAAGTTCATTATAAGTGAGTGGTAGCATGGCTTTTCACGGGTTTTCTTTTCCAAAAATTTTCCATTTACTGTGTAGAGGATTGGGGAAAATCACCTGGACAAGAGTTCTTCAGAACGAGTTTCTTTGTAAGCTTACAGCCAGCCAACAGCAAACCAAATGTTCTCCATAGTATAATTTATTCATTTCTTAACCTATTGAAAAATTACTGAAAAGAAAAATCCGTGGACCGGCTTTTCTTTCGAATCACAAAGTATTAGGTAAAATTGATCCTCGTTGAGATCATCGGGAGCTTTATTTTCCCCCTTTTTAGCGCTTTTTCGAAGTCGAAAGTTGAAAAAGTCGAGAAAAAACAAAATTAAACCTAGAAAAGTGTGATTACTTTTTCGAGGATAGTTAAGAGTTAGAAGAAGAAAGAAAAAGAAAGAAAAAGAAATAGAAAAAGAATTATAGGAGTTTTATGGAACGGTTAAGGTTCTAACAAATAACGTTCTAACAAGTTTTCAGGTTATTTTTCCCAATCCTGTACACTGATTCGAATGTCTTTAAAGTAAAAGGTTTTAGATCTTACTCTAGTAGCCTGCAAAAAAAGCTATGAACAAGAAATAGCAAGTAGTAGTAGTAGTAGTAGTAGTAGACAAGTAGTAGACTCGGCCTTCAGGACGGGACGGGAAATTGGAGCTTTCGAGACGTTCCGAACTCGTCTCGATTCCCGATTCCGAAGATTCTCCATAATCACCGCATTTCTAGATCGACTATCCGAGTGATCTCTACTCGACTGCTTTGTGTCTTTGGGAAATCGTGGAAAGACGGTAAGATTGTGTAGAGGAGGTTGCCTATTTTTCCTCTTTTTTAGACGTGTTTTCTCGCCTGAGTATGATAATGTCGAGCATTTCAATCATTTTACCTTTTTCAATGATCTCAGAAATGGTTCTTTCAAATTGTCTTTTCCCATCGAAAGCGAGAGTCCACTAAAAGCACTAATTCTCGAGTGAGTGGAGGCAAATCGAGTAGAAATGTTTTGGTGAAAATAAAAAAGCCGAATCTTAACGATTCTAGTGTGATATCTAGATAAAAAGAGGAATTTTGACGAATTTTCAGTTTTTCCAAAGCGTTTTTCTCCTCTCTTTTACTTTTCTAGTCATTTTTCCTTTCTAACTTTTCTAACGTTTGAGCAGCTCGCATAAATTTCATATGATTCGAGTGATCGTATTCTTGCTGCAAGATTCGCTTTGGGAATCGTCTTCTTCTTCGATACCATACTAAATCGCTCAAGAGTTGAATTGTTGGCTAATCCTTCCCTTAAGTTAGCCCTAAGCGCTGTTTTACTTGCTTCGATACCATACCAATTCCTTAAGAGTTGAGTTGTTGGCTAATCCTTCCCTTAAGTTAGCCCTAAGCGCTGTTTTACTTGCTTCGATATCACACCAAATTCCTCACAATTTTCAGGTGATGGTCGAGGTCGAGCTATCACCTGAAAATTTGATATTAGCGATGAATAGATATCAGCAAAAGAAGTTTTAACAGCCTGAATTACTCGTTTTCCTTTGGGTTCAACATGTGTTAACCTGTCGAGCTCTTTATAGCTGTCATTGAACTGCAGAGAGTGGACTGCCAAAAGTTCGCGAGCCAAGAGTGAACTCCCAAGAGCCAAGAGTTCGCGAGCCGAGAGCCAAGAGTGAACTCCCAAGAGCCAAGAGTTCGCGAGCCGAGAGCCAAGAGTGAACTCCCAAGAGCCAAGAGTTCGCGAGCCGAGAGCCAAGAGTGAATTCCCAAGAGCCAAGAGTGAATTCCCAAGAGCCAAGAGTGAACTCCCAAGAGCCAAGAGTGAATTCCCAAGAGCCAAGAGTGAACTCCCAAGAGCCAAGAGTTCGCGACTTTTTCCGAAAGATTGACAAAAGAAATTTTGTTTAAATTGCGTTTTTTCTTTTATCTGGATATCACACTAGAATTGTTAGGTAGGGGTTTTTTTGGCAAAACCCTTTTTTGCCTTATCGTGTTATCGGGAGGACTGATATTATTAAATATTAAAGGGAGGACTAATAAATATTAAATTTTTGGTGTGCCACCTGTGCATATGATCAACGACCTGTTATTGAGATAGTTCATCAAAGGATCATAGAACTTAATCTGGTAAGGTTGCATAAATTTTTTGATTATTACTCTTTTTAGGCATTTCAAGCGCAAACCTTTGCACCAATTATAGAGAAAGATAGAAAGAAACTGATGAAACCGGGCTCAGATGGGATGGGCCAGCTGTCGGCTGTTTCAAGAAATGAGCTATTTGCTTTGTCATCTATATCGATGAACCAAAGTTCTTCCAGCGAGAAGGACGAGAGGGAGGGATCGGTCATCGATGATCTCGAGTCAAGCTTGGCCACCATCTGCATGACGCCTTGTACCCTGATTGAGGCTCGTCGAAACTTGAAAAACATTCTGCGAGGAGCTCCAAATCTCTTGATCACTATCGAGAAGCTAATTGACAAATGCACGAAATTTCCAAGCGATCACGTTTTTCTCCTCGATCGAAACGACGATTTCCCTCAAATTCTCACCCCAACACTGATAAAGGTTTTTAAAGGAAAAACTGAATCTGATCACAAAATCCAATCGACTCTCGAGTCACTAGAGGCTATTTTTCAAGAAGACTATCGAAATTTGATTATTAGCTATGAAGAAGCAATTGATTGCGTGCAAAATTTGCTAAAAACCTCTACTCTAACAAAACTTTGTCTAACAATTCGAAAAGTTTACGAAATTATTCAAAAAGCTTCCTCCAATTTCTTCTATTCCCAATGGTTTTCAGCTGAAATCTATACAATATTCGACAAATCGTTTCTTTTAATCTCAAAAGAGAAAGCCTTGTTTCTCGAGAATATTCACGGGATAAAGACGAGAATTGAGGGTGAATCAAAGATGATGAATGAGAAGTGGTACTGGGTAGTCAGCCAAAACCAAACCTCATTTCCATGCTATCTCCGAAATGGCTATCATTTAGAAGAAATTCTAAGAGATTTAAAAGATAAACTACTTGTTCGAGTCGATGAATTCATGAAAAAATCTGAACTTATTGATCTCCTCAATCAAACAAAACTATCAAAATGGGCTTTTCCATTTGGCGAGTATGTTTTCGAGTTTTCTAAGAGTATCTACGAGATTGAGGCCTTTAAGAACACTTATTGTGATGCAGAAAGCCTCGCTGACTTTGAATCTCTACGATTGGCTTTTGAAAAAGGTCTTTCTTGGATAAAAGACTATCAGAGTTTGAGATCAGATCAGATTTTATCACAACATCATTTTATCATGCAACTATTCCTTATGAGTAAAATGTCGTTTGATTGTCGAGAGATCATAAGAGAGCTTGAGTTGGAACGCAATTGTCCAACACATATTCAGTTTCATATAACGAGTCGAGATCCCTGTCAAATATTAGGTGAATATCCAAGCAGAGACGGACAACAAGTAGCATTATTCGATTGGGAGCTGAAATTTGAGGCAAAACCTTTGAGAAAAGAGGAGGTACGAGTTGGGATTCGGCTTGTCCTAGAAAGTAAAGCATTGATCGAAAAACTCCGACAAGAGTTGCGCGATTGTGACAATCGGGTCACGCTTGCTATTCACCACAATCAGTTTTCTTGAAGCTTCTTTGCCCGAGATCTCCAGTTGATATGGCTTTTCAATTGTATTAATAAATGATTTGGAACTTTTTTTTCTTTATATAAGATATCATAAGAGAAAATACGTTAAGGGACTATTATGACCTCATTCAAATCTGTTCAGATGCCACAAAATAGTCATAGATTTTGGCGCCGTTGAGATGCAAACGCCTATCGAACACAGGGAATCCGATGCTGTATTCAGTCCATATTCAAAAGACGCGAGAAACATGTGTCCAAAGTTTGGGTGTCTACTCAGGAAATCGTGCCACGGGCTTATAAAGGCTCTTTTCCGACCCTCGCAATCTGATAGGTGCAGATGGCTTTGTGATAGGTGCCGATCTTCTTTTTGCTTTCTATAAATTCTATAAAACTCCGTGGCTCTCGTATTAAAAGACCATCTTGACCTGGTACCTTTTCCCATCGTGCCACGGGCTTATAAAGGCTCTTTTCCAACCCACGAAATGTGGCCAAGTGCGCCTGTACTTATCTACTTTTTGCTTTGGCCGCAGATTCGAATCTTCGAATCCACTCCGGGAAAAGCTTTTGTTTTCTTTTGTAAAATTAGCGAAATTCATTTTATAGTGCTTACTATTACTAATTAATAAAAATTTCACGCGGAAAATGTAATTGAAATTTCTTTCAATCGAATTTGTGGTATATTTGCCCAAAAAAATTGTTTTCAAGAAATTTATAGCGCCAGAATAGTTGAGATGAGGAGATTCGCTTATGAACTGAATATCGAATAGTTGAATAGTTGGGCATCCTTTTAAAACAATACATTTATTGAAAACCAATAACTTGTTACAAACAAAGGATACATAATAAGAAATAAAGGTTTAAAGACATAATTTTTATGGCACTGAGGCCGTCGTTACCCCTATTATTGTGAGTTTTTGACTCAAAAAAACAATTTTTAAAGGTTTAAAGGTTTAAAGACACAATTTTATGGCACTGAGGCCGTCGTTATCCCCATTACCCCTAATTTTGTGAAAATTATCTTTCGTTAAACTTTTTGTCGTTATCTTTCGTTTATCATTCATTGTTTATCGCGATATTATCGTTATTCAAGAAGTCTAACCACATAAACTTGGGCCCAATCCTGGCCTTGTAGGCCCCCTCAAACATCAAGATTTCTAGCATTGAGGCCGTCTTTACCCCTATTATTGTGAGTTTTTGTGAATCTTTTTGACTCAAAAAACAATTTTCTTTGGTGCGCAAGGGAAAAGCTTTGGTGTTTTCAAAAAAGAAAAAAGAAACAAAGAAAAAAGGTACTCATAAAGATCTTTTGAGATTCAAACTTTAAAATTTTGCTGAATTTTCGTGTTTTGTGCAATTTTCAATGATTTTTTTATGAAGTTTCATCTGAAAAACTGAGCTAAAAGAGTTTCATTTTAGCTTACATTTTAGAAAACACACTAGCAAGGAACAGAAATCGTAGATATTAAGCTTCAATCATTCAATTCAAATGCAAATTCTAACCATTCAATTCAAATGCTTTTATCTAACAAATAGTTCAAGTTCCGAGTCTGATATTTTATTGAAAAATTGAAACAGAAATAAAGAGAAAAATTGAATTTATAATCCTCAGTACTTCATATTTATTTTTACACTCGAAATCGAGTTAGTTTTCTTATTCGAAATAGAATTTGTGTTGATTGGAGTGATTTTGACAGAAGAATTGCCACTTTTTGACCATAAAGTGAAAATGATGGTTATCAGGCTGAAATGGGAATCGAAAGTTTGTAATCTTTAGATTGTAAACCTGCTGAAAGTGTTTCCAAAGAAGTGCAATCCTTGACTGACAAAGAATTGATCAAGGGGATCGTCCTCGATGATGATTGAGTCAAAGAAACCAATATCATCAGAAAGTGAACCGTACGAAAAATCGTTTAAAATAGCACAAGACCAGATTAGATTTGAAACCATTAACTAAAATAAGCTTCATTTTTTTATTTTTCCTTGTCGACTCACAAGAATTGTTAGCCTGAGCAATGCTTTCCGTTTATTATCACTCGATGTGCCTCCTTTACCCTAAAAAAAAGTATTCATAAAGAAGCTGAAAAGCTTTTTACCATTCTCCAAATCTTCAAACCAATCAGAATGTCAGCAAAAAAAGCGATAACCATCATTACTGCTGTTGATATTGTTAAGAAATTGTCGATAACCACAAGAACATAACTTGATTCAAACATGAGCATTTTCGTGAGATCGAGTGGGGAAAAGAAATATCCACCGTAGCAAGTGTAGCCAGTGGATGGTTGTTGTACTGAAAAAGAAATTTAAATTCGTCTTTTACAATGCAAAATCAATCTATTATCAGATATAATCAAACAGATCTGACTCTAAGATCTGGTACAAGGCTCTGACTTTTCTGGCTGAGATTTCTGGATCTGGGACTGAAGGTGAATGTTATTAGGTTGTCCAGTTATAAATGCGCCTTTTTTGAGGGCTTATTCCAAATATTTCTGCAAGTTCACATGTAGTTTGTTGAGGATCAATTTCGATCGCCTGTTTAAGTACTGCCTTATCGATCTCAGGTGGCCGTTGGTGGTGGTCCTCATCCTCTGAAGATTCATTTCCTTCTCGAAATCGTTGAAAGCATCGCCGACACTGGCTTTCCGAAATAGCATCTTCCAAAATACTTTCCAAAGGTCTCGATGAGATTCAGCGGTATTTTTGCCCAATTTGAAGTCATACTAAAGACTGGCACGGAGACGAAACTTCGTGTCATTCACAGAAATTAAATCAAAAATTGACGTCAAAAACACGAAAAGTTGTAATAAAATAAGAAAAAGAAAAGAAAAGTCGTAATAAATTAAGAAATCAATACTTAAGTTGTTGATTAAGATTAAGAAATCAATACTTAAGTGCCCAAAAATGTGTCCTGAATAGGGAAGAGTAGGACACAGTGAGATTTTGAAACGAGACCCAGCCTATCCGATAGAAAAAAACGGGGAATCCGAATCTCTAATCAAAATCAGCTGAATAGCTAGCAAACAAACAAAGTTTTTGCTACACACTGAGCTCTTGAGCTACTCTTGAGCTGAGTTTACGCTTTTCTTTCAACGTTGCTCGTGGTGTAGCGCGTAGCGTGCTTCTCTATGGAACCGAGTAAATCTTTCTAGTGTGTTCGAATCCTCCACCAGACACAGCTTTTGCTTTTTATATTATCCAGAAAGCCATTTTTGTTTTTCTTATACTATTTAGCTTCATTTTCTTCTCTAATTTGGATGAGAGCAATTTCAGAAACTCAAACTCACATCTTGATATTTGAACGAGTTTCAAAACACTAGGAAAAATAACCCAAAGATACAAAACGGGATGCAAAACTTGTCAGCAAGCGCCGAGTATCTCGTGTCAAAATAAACATTGAACACTCTAAAAAGCTGGATTTTCTTGAGAGAAATCTCGATAAGTACCGTAAAATTGAAAAACCGTGGTTGATCCACTCAGATTTGTCGGACAAAATGGCGAGGAGGATTTGATTGAGAAGAATTCCGGGAAGGAAACCCTCCGTTTGCACACAGTTCCATCTAAAACGTCATCAAAATCAAAATCAAATAAATTTTTGAAAAAACTCACGTTAATACACATTGAGCTGAATAGAAATCGAAAATTATCGTCGAAATTTTAAAACACTCATCGAAAATTAGAATAAATTTCGTTACTTTTGAAAGAGACGAATTCTTTCGGAGCACAAAGATACAAGAACCACTAAACATTAGGATAAAGAAGCCACTCTAAAGTTTGGATTTGATAAAACTAAAATAGAAGAAGAACTGAACCAAAGATCAAATTTCCTTTAATACAAAACACTTACTAAGATAAGTAAAGTCGTAACGAGCATCTCATATTTATTGTTTAGATTTGTGTGAATCGGAAGACCATTCCATTTGTAGGAGAGTTTGTTTGGGTCGTTTGCCATGATGCCAGGCTGAAAATGAAGTTGAAGTTCATCTGCAGTAGTTACTCAAGCCAATACAATAGCCAACAACCTATTTTTCTTAAAAAGTCAACTAAAAAGCCAGCAACCTAGTAGTCTTCCTAATCGTATTCCTAATTTTGTTAATAGTAGTAATTCCTTAGATTGCTCGAAATCTCGAAAACCGATCATCAGAACCTATCGATGTGGGGTCGGAAAAGGTAGCTGACGATGAGATCTTGTGGGGGACTGGAGTGTTGAGCTTCTGTGAAAGCTTGGAAACCGTAAAATCATCATCAACTCGGATCCTAGCATCTGTAAGCCAGGCCAGGTCAGAGTCCAAGTCTAGATACTTAAACAAGACCAGGCAGATCAGGACAAACTGAACCCTGCCCTGCAACAATCAAGAACTAACTAGAACCAACTACAACAATTTAGTACAAGATCTTATCTATACCTTTAGCCATTACATCATTACATTACATTATCTTTCGAAAATGAAAAACTACTTCATCTAGGGAATTCAAACTCAAATTCAAGTTCAACCTGTTCGACGCATCGCGTGAAAGAGCTTTTGTTCGGATTTGTCATAATTGTAGTAATAGTAGAAATAAATATTCCCATAGATATCTTTGATTTTCTCTTTCCACTCGGGTTTACCATCGT